GTGAATGCCCAGAGCTCAGCCAGGAGCGCGGTCGTCGAGCCGATATTGGCAACAAAACCTGCTACCCACTGACCTGTGGAGTCGCAGAGAGCACCCCCCGTGCCTGCCAGGCCCGGGTTGCCGTTCGAGGCGCCATCAATATTAAGTTTCATCCATCCTTCAGCCGGCGGGGACCATCCGATGTTGGCCAAGACCCGTTGCGGCGCCTGGTTTCTGTTGTGGGAGAGAGGATCAGGGGCCCGCCACGCTGCATTCCACAAACTGGTATGAGCCATGATCGAGTTCTCGAGGGAGGGAGCTGACAACGCCGCGTTGATTCCCTTGAAACAGGTCGTAGTACGGTTCTTCCACAAGCACCAAGAAGTCATACCGAAGAAGGCCGGTCAATCGATCCCCGTTGCCGTGGACGTGCTATTGAGAAGATTCCACCTGAACCACTGGTCGATGCTGCTAGTGAAGAAAGCGTGCTGCTGCTAGTGAGGAACCTGTCGCACCCAGAAAAACATGGCCGGAGGGCAGTCTCGGAGCAAGTGGGGAATGGACTCCTGCAGCCCAGGGCACCGCAGGCAGTGGGGACTCGCGGCACACTTCCTGTCAAAACGAAGCCCATTCGTCGCTAGCTTCCTTGAAAAGGCCAACCACATGAAGCTTCTTACCCTCTCTGGAACTGGGAGTCTCCAGATGGTCTTCCATACTTTCACATTCGCATCAGGCTCCCTCTGGTTGAGCATGTTGAAGGCCGATTTGACGCTAAATCTCCCGTCCCCTGACGCAGTCCAGAACAACGTATCCTCTTCCTGTGATAACTTGTCGACAGCTATGCTCAAGACTTTCTGGTACAAGTCGGCTGGTAGTAGGTGCTGAAACAAGTCCGTTCGCCATCTACCGTCCTCGTCCACAAAGTCAGCCACCGAAGCTCCGTCCAGCTCCGTCGGGATCTCACCAATCGCCATTTCCTTGAGAGGGAACTGCAAAAGTCACAAATCATGCCAAAATTTAGTGCGCCGACCATTCTTGATGTTCCACGCACATCCTCTTTTCAAAAGAGTGGCAGTTTTCGAGAAACTACTCCAGGTGAAGGAACTTCCCTTGATGTTGCGGAGCAGGTCGAGGTTATTGGCTTGGCGGCCATACTTGGAGTGCATAATCCGTGTCCATAGGCTTTCACGATCCTTTATAAGCCGCCATCCATTCTTAGCAAGCATAGCTATGTTGGCTTGTCTGGTGTCTCGAAGGCCCACTCCACCTTGCAGCTTTGGGCGAGTCATCGTCTCCCAGGCCACCAAGTGCATCTTGTTTCTATCCTCCTCTTCGCCCCACACAAAATTCCGGCTTATCCTGTCAATACTGTGGCAAACTCCAATAGGAATAAGCTCCGTTTGCATGGTGTAGACAGGAATCGAGACCGCCACCAATTTGGCCACCGTTAGTTTAGCCGCGAAGGATAACCGCTTAGCCTTCCACGGCGCCATCTTCTTCTGAATCTGCAGGAGGAGAGGCTCGTATCTCCCTTTGGTCACCCGCTCCTAGATGGCATGGATCCCGAGGTAGCGACCAAGATGGGCTTTCAGAGGGATACCAGCACCCCTACTCAACCGCTAAGCTCTCTGCCAACTAATGTTGGGAGAGACATAGATGATGGATTTGTTGAGATTCACCCGCTGACCCGAACTGAGGCAGAAATCTTCTAGGCACTTCTTGATAACATGTATCTGCTTCATTTATGCTTCAGCAAAGAGCAGCAGATCATCTGCAAAAAACAAATGAGTTAGGGGTGTACTATCAGCGGTGATCTTAATAGGCTTCCATTGGCCATCATTCACCGCTTCATCGATTTTGTGAGAGAGCCTTTCCATACAAAGTACAAAAAGGTAAGGGGAAAGGGGATCTCCCTGACGAACTCCTCTGGAGAGAGAAAGCGGCTGAGATAGCTTTCCATTCCAAAGGATTCTCATCCGATTCTGTTCCACGCAATACATGATGTTGTTGATCCAACTGCTAGGCAACCCAACCTCTTTCAACGTATCCCTCAGGAATTCCCACCTAAGCATGTCATAAGCCTTCTCCAAGTCGATTTTGAGGATCATCCCTCCTTTTCTAGCCTTCTTTCTACGGAGAGAGTGCAGGAGCTCCTGAACAACGATGATATTATCCGCCGTCTGCCTGCCTGGTATTAAACTGCTCTGATGTGGCGATATCAGTTTGTTCATTAGTGGCTTCAGTCTGCTGGTCAGAGCCTTGGTGATTGCCTTAAGACAGACGTTATTAAGAGAGATAGGGCGCAACTGATTAACTCTCTCTGGACTGCCCACTTTTGGAATAAGCACTAGTGTAGACTCGGAAACTGCCCCAGGAAGGTCCCTTGCAGCGAAAAAAATTGATAGTCATCTCGCTGAGAGCCTTCCCCACCACGTGCCACATGCGCTGATAGAACACTGCTTGGTACCCATTAGGACCAGGAGCTTGATACGGTTTCATCTCGAATACGACCTTATGAATATCCATGATTGTGAAGGGGCGAAGGAGAAGGAGGAGCTCTGCCTGGTCAATATGAGGGAAGCAATTCTTTGGCATCTTGTCCTCATAAATCGAGCCATCCTGCATAAAGAGGTTAGTGTAAAAATCAAACACAAGACAGGCAAGATAAAGAGGATTGGTCACCCAGTTGCCGCTCGAGTCCTGCAGAGCCACTATCTTATTCCTCCTTCTTTTGATGTTGACTTGTTGGTGGAAGTAAGCTGTATTCCTTTTCCCAAATTTGACCCACTTCTCGCGAGATCGTTGGAACCACAGCATCTCTTCCTGCTCCAGGACATTGTCAAGCTCTCGCTCGAGGCTGGCGTGAAGCTTGGCGAGGCCCGGGTTTAAGCCGTTAACCCACCTCTCTTCCACCCCTCTAAGACGAGCTAAGAGTCTCTTCTTTTTCTGATGGATATTCCCAAAAACATGGCGATTCCACTCCTGCAATTTCTCTGCCAAATTTTGAAGGGCCAGATGAAGAGGAGCTTCCGAATCCCAAGCCCCCATCACATAATCCTGAAGGTTGGAATGGGAGAACCAAGCTGCTTCGAATTTGAATGCTCGAGCCGGGGTTGGTGAGGCTCCAGAGACCATGACCGTTGTCAGAATCGGGTTATGGTCCGAATGCAGTCTGGGCAGGTGGAGAACAGTCGTGTTGGGGAAGGAAGAATTCCATCGAAGGTTGCACAGGCTTCTGTCTAGCCTGCTCGCCTTATAGGTACTTGACTGCTCACCTCTGCTCCAAGTGTACTTTGTACCCGAGAACCCCAAGTCGATAAGCTCTGCTTGATTGATCCTGTCGTTAAACATTCGGCATCACCGAGCAGAGTTGCTTGCAGGGGGGCCGGCTTTCTCATCAAGACTACGGATGGCGTTAAAATCGCCAGTTAGGATCTACGGGATATCAATTCGCTCGCTTAAATCAATTAGAGAGTCCCAAAGGTTGTGCTGCCGATGAGAGCGAGGAGAGGCATAAACCGCTGTTGAAATCCACGGGGCCAGATTGCCTTCGGAGATGCGGAGGGAGAGATGTTGTGAACAGGCTGAGATGAGTTGAGTGTTGAAACAGCGACCATCCCAGAAAATCCAGATCCCCCCTTGCCACCCATTTGCCTCTACTCTCAGCGAATTGGGGAAACCCATTCTATCACACAGAGAGCTAGCCGAATCTCCACTGATTTGGGGCTCCAGAAGGATAACAAAATTAGGTCGATTCTGATGAATCGCAAGCTTGAGCGCCTGCGTAAAAACTCTGCTCACTGCTCCACCTACATTCCAAGAGAAAATTTTGAAGTTAGATTGTGTCGACATAAGGGTAAAAAGAAGTAAAAGAAAGTGAAAAGGAGGCTGAAGAGAGATCAGTGATCATTTGGTTGGCCATGCTCCACGCTCGTCAAAGGAAGAGCTGCTTCCTGATTAGGGATTGTTGCCGCTCTATCTTGCTCCAGAGACAAGTTTGGAGCAATTTTCTCATTCTCATTCGTCCAGGCACTGATTTCTTGAAGAGTTAAGGAGGCAAGGCGAGCTCTAGGTTTCGCCTTTTTCTCTTTCATTGGTGACCAACGCTGAATGGTCCTGATCGGAATCATCTTGGCCGGCGATTCTTTCCAGATACGGTCCGTTGTTTTCTTGTTCTTCTTCAGTCTGGTGGCCGTCGACAGCGACCCACGCTCCATCATTTTTTCCTTTGTTCCCTCAGTCTGTTGAAATTCCACTACTTGCAACACGGTACCGTTAGAGCCAGTCGTCGAACGTATCGCAAAAGGGGGTGCTTGGCGCTCGGAGGTGCCATTCTGGGCTGGGGATCCAGTTGTTTTGGTAGATGACGTTGGGCTTGGGCTTGGAGCCGGGTGTTCGGCGCTTTCTGATTGATGGCCCGAGGTTGATGCTTTATCAGTCTCATTCCTTGTCTTTGGCCCAAAAGAAGGGGCCCGCTGGCGACCCGGCCCTGGCCCCAAAACCCCTTTGGCTGCCGTGGTATCCACACTCACTTTCTCCTTTCCTTTTCTCGATTCTTCATTCCCTTTCTTCCCATTATTGCCCTTTTTTCGTGCGAAGTCCCCCCGTTGAGAAGAGCTGCCAGTAGGTTTCATCAATTGGGGCACCAAATCTTCTCTTTCCCTGATAACCACACCCCCTTTTCCATTTTTAGCGGATTTCCCTGGGTAGCTTGCGCCATTTCGGGCCCTGAATTTCCTCTCTTCTGCACTTCCCGAGATCCACGCCTTGATTTTCGGCTGACCAGCATCCAAGGACCGAAACCGGGATTTTCCTCCGGTGGTTTTACCGGTGACATTTCCGACGTGGTTCCATCGGGGCTAGAACTGGCCCGTGGCAGAGACGTTGGTCGGAGTTGTGGCCATGAATCAATGGTGTGCGGTGTGCCCAATCTTCCCACAGTGAAAGCATACCTGGGGAAGATTTTCGTATTCCACTCTCTTCCAAACATCATCTAACCAAATTCGAGGCACGAGATGTTTCTATAGGTCCACTTCAACAGCGATGCGAGCGAATTTTGCACGTTCTTGGTTCAGCGTGTGGTAGTCCAGCTTAATGGTTCTACCGATTAGGTTCCCCAATGTCGTCAGGACTTCCCTGTGATAGAAATGGATCTTAAGAGCTGGAAGTTGCGCCCAGACGATCATTGTTCTCGGAAGCGGATCAGACACCTTGAAGCTAGGTGACCACTGCTGAACCACCAAGTAGTGATCGAAGATCATCCATGGTCCCTCTGTCAATGCCCGAAAGTAGTCTTGCTCATTATCCAACTTAACCAAGAAGCAGTCGTAGTCGAGATCCCGAATCTCCAACGTTCCTGTTGGCTTCCACAACCCACGAAGCCTGGAGCAGAGCGTAGTAAATCCAATTTTGGTTCCGAGTAATCGCACCACCAGGGAGCGTTGCCACGGGGCACAGATCTTGTGTTTGAATTGTGGAGAAATACTCAGGGTTGGTTCGTCATCCTTCTCCCCCCGAATCAGGTCGTGCTCGCCCACGGGGGTCCAAGTTGTTGTACACAGCGGAGTCGGTTGTAGACTTTGTAATCCTATGACCTCCTTGGCATATGTGAAAGGTTGCACGGCCTTGTCCGCATTTTGGTTCGACGTCAGATGGTTTCCCTCCGAAGAGGAAGGCGATGAGTCGACGATCATGTCTGACACCGGAGGCGCCACTTCCGCAGGGGCGGTGTCCGGAGGTCTGTCTGATGGAAAGGGCACCAGCGGCGGAGCCAAAGTTTCACCGGAGCACTCAAGAGCATTAAAGAGTGTATTTGGTATCATGTAAATGACCTCCCAAAATTAAGGTTGATTATTGGGTGCTTACGCATGTCATGTAACAATGATTTACTCCAACACTTTCTGAACTTTAGAAAATCATCAAACATTTCGAAATGGCTTGGGGATACTAGGAAGCTCTACCATGTGATGGCCTTACTTCGAACACAAAGGACGAAACCGCCAATATGCCTCCCTAATCCTCTTTTTCTTGGCACTCCTTTTGCTAAGATTGTGTGTTTACTCATTTTTTTCATGAGATTTTTTTTCCTAATTAGTCTATCTTCATCCCCCATTTTTAATTGAGTTTTTTCCTATGGGAGGAAAGCTCGATTAGAATTGCATTAGTGGAAGAGATAGGAAATTATAATAGAAGAATGTGATTAGACTGTGCACGTTTCACATTTTTATATTTTTCACGAGAAAAATATAATGAGTGACTGAATAGAAACTTATGTTTGCTCTTGACACTGCAAGTTAGGACTAATCTTTCTTTTCTTCTATCCAGGTATCTAGCTAGTATTGAATCATGTCCAACAAAATTGAAATGTGTTCATGCTCGAAATGATACAAAGACGATTCAGTCATACTTAGCGGTTAATTTTGAAAGTAACAGGTTTGTCATGCCTGGCATCATGCCATCTTTCTTCCTCCTCCTCCTCTGAATGATGAATGGCCAATTCATGAGAGTTGAAAAACAAGGAAATAAAACAAAGGAATCTTCCAAACCGGAAAACAGATATACAAAGATAGAGCGACTTTCAGTGACCACAGTGACAAGCGCTACCTATAGCTAGGTTACAAAAAAGAATTGAATAAACTACTAGGTATTAACACCAACTAAATGGCAATTGCTATTTGTTTAATGAAACGATTAAAAACTATATTATTGCTTTAGATAGTTCCAGAACTCAATAGGCCGTGAAAAGGGAGAGGGAAAAAAAATGATAATTTAATCGAAGATAAATGATCGGGCAAGAAATTAAAGGACCAATAAGAAATTTATTAGCATACTATATTCACATCCAGTTGTTGATCCATGGACATACTTGCCAATATAAAAACCGCAATGGGGTTTGGGTTTCACGTGAATATCTTGTGTAGCTAATAGCATCAATTTCATCTCCGGCCACTTGGGCGACGTACGGCGGAAGTTCCAAGCAGCCTACCTGTATGCAGCCAAAAGCCTACAGCAGTAATTATCAACGAGAAATATGCTGCGGTTGGCCGGCAGCACCAACAACTTCGTTTCAGACTTCCCCACCGCCACCAATGGCTACCCTTCTACTATAATAACTTCTCTTTCTCATTCGCCGGCGGCGGCGGAGGAAGAAGCTCTTATGTCCTCTCGAGACGGCAATGATCTTCAGCAGGATATCTACAAGTAATTATATACACATCTTCTCCAGCTAGAGTGAAACAACACTTTTTTTGCAACCAAATTTGGGTCACTCGTCGCTAAAGATCGTTACTTTTGGTCGCCAAAAAGGGTTTCTGATTATTAATCATGTAGTTGTGATTATAATTGACTAGGGTGTTCGTGGGCTCGTGGAACGTCGGAGGGATCTCACCGCCGGAGGATTTGGATCTCCGAGATTGGCTCGACGTTCTTAATAACGACGGTGCCGGCTCTCCATCGCCGGACATCTATGTTCTTGGGTTTTTTTTTTTTTTTTCCTTCCCCTGCATTATGAATATGATTTTAGGAGTTTAAGTAATTGATCATTTTGGAAAATATATACTGTAAACAAATATACGTTGGGTGCATGCAGGTTCCAGGAAGTGGTGCCTCTGAGGGCGGGAAACATAATCCTAGGTTCCTCCGAAAATCACGGCAACTATACCGTTCCCTTCAGATGGAACTCCGCAATCGAGGCAGCTCTCAACAACGACGGCGCAGAAGAACACTACGATTGCTTGGTGAGCAAGCAGATGGTCGGAATCTTCATAACGGTCTGGGTAAAGAGAAATGTCAGGTCACACATCCGCCACACCGCCGTCTCCTCCGTTGGCTGCGGCCTCATGGGTTGCTTCGGCAACAAGGTAACTACTATCTTCTTATATGATGCAGTCACTTATTATTAATTAGAAAAGTTAACTAAAACTTATTATGTGATAAATTAATTAATTAATAGGGTTCGGTGTCGGTGAGGTTTTACGTGGAGAAGACGAGCTTCTGCTTCGTGTGCAGCCACCTGGCTTCCGGCGGGAAAGACGGCGACGAGAGGTTCAGAAACGCCAACGCCGGCGAGATCATGTCGCGTACCAACTTCCCACGCCGATCCGCCCACTTGCGCAACTTGCCCCGCAAGATCCTTCATCACGAGTATGCAACTTACTAATTAACTAACCACTCTTTCTTTTCAATTATTAATTATTCGATGAAAATTAGAGATCGAGTACGATCAATTAAGCATGATGGCGACGTTAATTGCGTTATTATGCCAACTATATACAATTGAGATGCAGTTATTGGTTCATACGAACCGACCAACTACAGTTTATGCTAGTTATAAAGTATAATTTTTGCAATATGAAAAAAGGCTAGTGGCTGGTGCTGTTGCAGGACCGCAGACCCCGACAATTACATAACATTATATATTTGCCGTCTTCCCTCTAGTTAATTATGATATGATATGATATAATATTAGTTAAATTAATTAATTAAATACAAGTTGCAGAGCTTATATAAGAAAAAAACACAACTGTAGCAATCAGTTAATTAATTAATAATTCTTTTAATTACCATATAAATAATTTGTGTTGTTTTTGTTTGATTGTTCGTTTGTTGGTGCTGCATTATTGACGGACCACAGTCGAGTGGTATGGTTGGGTGACTTGAACTACAGGATATACCTACCAGAGACCACCACTCGATTCCTCGTCCAGAAAGGAGAGTGGAATGTTTTGCTGGAGAAAGATCAGGTACCTATCTATATATTTATATTTTATTATTATTATTATAATTAAAATGGAATACATAAATTGATAATAAATCCCTAATTAATCATGTAATATTATTGGGCCTGAAAGCTGAAGGCGGAGCTGACGAAGGGACGCGTGTTTGAGGGCTGGCAGGAAGGCCGAATCCAATTCCCGCCCACTTACAAGTACTGTCCCAGCTCTGGGCTTTACTACGGTATTGAATCCGGCCCGGCCCAACGACCTAAGCCCTCCAAAGGCCGCGCTCCTGCCTGGTAATAGTTTCTTCTTTCTCTAATCGATCTTTTACAAAAACCTATGATATTGTTTTGATGAACAAGTCTCCATAGTACAGTGCAGGCATTAATTATTGGTTAGCCTACCTAACAGTGTATGTTTTGTTTATTCATTATTGAGCTGTCACTGTGTGAATGGATGGAAATTTAATATATAACTTAGTAGTATTTTCTTTTGGGGGAAATTAAATAATTGCGATCTGTTAACGTGTCGTTAATCACATTAATGTTAAACTGAAATGTGTATATTAATTATATAGGTGCGACAGAGTAATATGGTTTGGAGATGGCCTGAAGCAGAGCCAATACGAGAGAAGAGAAAACCAACTGTCCGACCACCGGCCGATCCGAGCAATCTTCACGGCGCAAGTAGACAAACTTTCCCCTCCCTAATTATAGCTAATAATTATTCCTATCATCACTGTAACTACCGCCATATATATTCGTTTGCTTTTTTTTTTTTTTTTTTTGCAATATTGTGTAATTGTATATCACATCACATACATGTATCATGGCATCATGTTTTGATAAAGTACGGTATTTTAGTATTTAATCGGTAAAGATGAAACAACAAATCATCTTAAGAAATTAATAATAAAGATTGCTAAAATTGTATTGTCGCATAGGGCAATCCTACTCGCTCGAAATTTCACATCGTATGGGTCTTTTAGTTTCCTCTATGATATAGAACTAAATCATCTAATTGGCTAGATACTAAGTTTTATATTTTATGTTATGCGTTAAATTAATTACACAAAATCATTGTGTAGAATATATATTAGTGAGGAATAGAAGGGGCGGTTAGTTTGTTACCCTCTAAGAGCATGTTAGAAAAATAACATCTCCTATTAATTATAGTTATTTTTGTATTAAATTCGTGTTGCATTTAATAGTTTTTGGGAATTAAAAATTCATATTAATTATATTTATTTTTTTAAATATCATTGCACTCATACAACTACCATTGCACCTATACATAATACAGTGAACTCATATAAATTGCATTCCTTTTTTTAACTATCATTGCACTTATACAACTACCATTGCACTTGTACACTGATATCATTGCACTGATACAACTAACTTTGCACTGAAAAAGGAAATTAATTAATTTGGGTTTTAATTAAGACAGATTATTAAATGCAATATAAATTAATTACCTTAAAAACCTATATTTAATAAGGGGTGTCATTTTTCCAACCCCTTTAGGGGTAGTCATGCTATCTCACCCCAATAGAAGATGGTGAATCATTGTAGAGTAGACAGTGGATGTTTAAGGAATAGAAGATGATGAAATTACTATAGTTTGAGTTGCTTAATGTTATGTTCATACCTTGTTTCGATATGTGAATGATAGTTCTTTTCCTATTGTTGTAGATGACTATAATGATGTATTTAAAAGTGGCACCATTTATGAAACAATTTCGCTGCTCGCTATGAATAGCCACCTAGAGGTTGACATGTGATCCGGTAAATTCGAATACAATTGAATAAAATGTGAAACTGGCCAAACTGAAAAATCAAGTACGAGTCAAAATTTGATTGATGGGCCAAATTTCGAACTCAATTTGGCCCAATCATTACTCCACTTCACTGCCACGACCTGCTCTTACCTGCGTTCCATTGTCTTAATCCCAATTTCACCTCCCACCCACCTCAGCCCAGCCCACACACTGATAGACTATACTCCCTATGGGTCCATTGTGGTTTGCTTCTACATTTTTTTTTTTTTTTTGCCAATAGCTCACTTGTATTACCAAGACGAAAATATAACAAGAGTTTACACCATATGAACAAACTAAAGTCGGAAATAAAAAAGTATCAACACTTGTAGGTAACAAAGAAATGGTCTTCTTAGCCACCAGATGGGCCACCTGATTGTTTCTCCTGCCAACGAACCGCACTCCAAATACCCTTAATTGTTGGCGAAGCTGCATAATTTCTTCCAATAACGCACCTCCACGAACATCATATATCACATTCTCCTTTACCTTATCAAGCACTCCTTTGGCATCGCCACAAAAAATAATCTCTGATAGTCCCATCATAGAGCACCATCGAATTGCATCACGCAGCGCAACCAATTGTGCCACCCAAGAATCTCGCAAACATGCATAATGAAAGCCTTTAGCAAAAAGAATTGTACATGTCGTATCTTGCACAACTGCGCCTCCCGCTGCATGTGAACCCCGCCGAAGAGCTCCATCCACGAAGCACTTGAGACCTGGACCACCCCCACAAGACGGTGCTGCAGTAGGACGAAAATCTAGAACCGACAAAACTACAGGCCTGGACAACGCCAACCACTCATTCACATAGGCATTATACTGCTACAGTAAAACATCCTTGGTATATTGTAAATGATAAAGCGTCACCCAATTCCGTGACTTCCATATTCACCACAGCAAGGCAACAAATCGGAAAATCCGCTCCGGGCTCACATCATGCTCTATATACCTCATAAAGAATAACGCAAAATTTACGTTAACTTCCTCACTCCCACCCATATTTAGTCCCACCCTAGCTCACAAACCTCTCGCCACTCTACAGAACAAGAACATAAGTTCCATTGTTTCCAGAGGTTCCCCACAAACCGGGGACCGCGACTGACGTCGTCTTCCCTTCTCAATAATCGCCTCCGTAGTTGGCAGAATACGACGCATCACTTGCCATACAAAAAATTTAAGCTTAGGGGGAATAGAAAAATCTCATGCCTTCTTCCAAAATGTCATATAAGGAAAGGAAACTTCCTCCCTCCACCCAGGCTTCTGTAGACTCAATTGCAAAGCTAAATGATACCCAGATTTTACCGAGTGGAGCATCGTCTGCTCCCACTCCCATACCACGCGATCCGCAACCTGACAAAGCGCCAATGAAAGATTGTGTATAACATCAGCAACTTCTGTCGGGAAACAAAGCTCTAGGCATACATCACACCACTACCCTGTAACCAGCTCCATTAAACCGTCCATTGTTTGACTCGGCTGAATTACTGTCGTCGGGAGCAGGACGTCTGCCACATTTCCAAAATCGGGTATCCACCTATCCTCCATGACACGAACCGTCGTACCATTACCTACCTGTCGTCTCAAACCTTCCTGCAGCAATTCCCGACCATGCAAAATTCCCACCCACTCCCATGAGTGTCTCGAACTACGGGTGGCTTCAAAGAACCCTACCTTGGGAACATATTTTTCTTTTAAAATGCGTGTCAGCATAGACCGGCTCCTGCCATATTCACCAAGCAACTTTCGCCAAAAGAGCTTGATTAAAGAGCGCAAATCATCTATAACCAAGTCTGCCATCATGTTTGGTACGACAAAGATTCCTCCAAGAAACCCAATGAACCTTATTTCTTTCTGCAGTGTAACCCCACAAAAATCGTGCCATATGCTTGTCTAGTTTCCGGTAGAGTGTTTTTGGTAACAAGAAACACACCATAACATGAATAGGTAATGTCGTCGCTACAGCCTTCAAAAGAACTTCCTTCCCAGCCCAAGATTTTTTTTTTTTTTGCTTCCATATCTGCAGCTTCGATAACAATTTATCCTCAAAGAATTTAAATGTCTCAGTTTTGGAACAATGCTCTAGCGACGGTAATCCCAAATACTTGTCATGAACACTCACAACCCCTACTCCCAAAAGCTAAGCCATTTCCTGCTTATGTAGCTCCTCTACATTACCACTAAAACACACTGCCGATTTCGCCAAATTCATCTTCTGTGCACTTAACGACTGATACTCCTGCATAACTGCTAGTAAATTTTGACATTCACATGTTGACGCTCACAAAAACAAATACGAATCATCTGCAAAAAATAGGTGGGACTTAGGTAACCAGTTCGTGGAGCGGGAGCGAGAGCGGGAGCGGGAGAGGGAGCGCGAGAGCGTCTGTTTTAGTAGAATTCCATATCGAGAGCGTGGAGAGAGCGCCAAAATATGATTATTATAATTAATATTATAGGAGCAAATAATATCAGTATATATTAATAAAGCACATAAAATATAAACTATAGTTTATGGTAAAAATATATTGGTCTTTCTCTATTTCATTGGTCTTTGTTTATGGTAATTATATAAATTATGTGGTTAGTAGCTTAATAACTAAAAATTTAATCAATTAAAAAAGACAAATGTGTTTAAGAAACAAAATGAAAAACAAAAAACAAAAATAAGAGTTACTCATTAGTTAGTCACTAGTTTTCTTACCCGCGCTCCGCGACGGGATATGGGTTATTTTTTAGTTCATAAAAAAAACTAAACTAATTAATTGATATCACATGGACACATAGTAATAAGTTATAAGTGTCCAAACCAAAAACATATTTTCATTTTATTCTCCAAGTAACAGGAGCATTAAGCATTACACTTTGAAAGTTGAGGTTTCACCAAGAAATAGCTCGGCAGCATAATTAGTACAAAAAGTTTACATGTTTTCAATTTTCTAATTAATCAACACCACTAAACCTTAAAAAAATAAGTCTCAATCTACTAATGAAACCTTCCTTGTCCACGATTATCAGGGGAACTATGCAGCTCACCTACAACAACAATAAGATTTGTTTGTTGTTAATAATTGTGTCAAGAAAGTAGGAAATCATTGTCAAGAAAGAAACCACAAAAACCAAGTTAATTGCCATATAAAAAGTAGCGAACTGAAGCCTGCCAAATAATTACAGGCAACTTAGAAAGCATAGACAATCTCAGTGGAGATTTATAACAACACAAAAGATCCCTCGTAAAAAAACAAAATCATCTCCATACATTAGTTGTAGATAAAATGTGTGAAGGAATCTAAAGTTAGCAACAGAGTTAATATATATGAATTAGGTTCAGAATCAAAACTAAACAAAAAGAGTGATCGAAAAAAGTGAAGAACATTCTCACTTTAAAAAAAACAAACTGAGTGGCCAGATGAATTGCTTCCGGAATCTGTGGATTAACAGCCAGCCTAGTAGCTGACGAACTGGAGCACACATAACTTCCTATAAGAAACCCAAAAACATAGAATTACGTCCAAGTAAAGAAAACATAAACCAAGCTGAAAAGCCTGACAGCCCTCAATGCATAGTGAAGGAGGAATTTTGACATGAACGCAAATACACATCATACCATTCACCAAAGAGACCATAAGGCTCCCAACAGCAATTAGAATAGGTTCAATTAAATCTGCCTGAATTCAGGCAGCATGATCAAGAACTGTCGTTACCTCATTCCAAAGCGTGACAGCAACTGTTTCACCCCTGAGAAATTTAGTATTATACCAAGTCAGGACACAAAGCATAGATCAAGAAGCTTAACAGTTGAAAGCAAGGAGCACCACTATACACATACGAATGATTCTCAAGCACCAAGGTTTGTTTAGGCGTGGGGCCAAACTCGGTAACTTGATGACTGATGCCGCCAATGGAATGCAATCGGCCAATAACATCTTCAGGAAACAAAGACACAAACATACATCAGGAAGACAG